TGTAATAGAGGGGTATAGCGTTGAAGCTACCTATCGATGAGTTCTGCTTCTTGCTCTAAAAATGAAGAAAGACTTGTCGGAAATGGCCGGTTGGGTTGGTCCAACCAAGAAAGGCATGGGAGTCTTTGGGCCCGAGTACTCACCTCAATTGCCTTGAGGAGACTCGAACTGGTAACAATTGGGGAGCAAACTCAATACCTAACCAATTGAGCAACCCTTTAAGTTGGTGACAGATATCTTTATAATCTACTCAAATTCAAAATAATATTGAGAAACCAATTTAACTTGAAATCAATTAAATTTTGAAATTAAATCACATGTACTTAAATTTTCGAAGAGAATCTTTAGCACGAAAATTTGTCCACTACGCTTTTTGCCTTTTTCTTTTTTATTTAGTGGGTGTTTGATGCACATTATTATACTTCAATTACATGCTATTGGCCGTGAGAATTAGGTATAAAGATGATGGCTTCAAATCAGATCAAGTGATCGATAATGATTCACAACAGAAATAAATCGTAGAGGATGTTGTAGCTAAACTGATTGTAGAAAAAGGAAAATTGATGGAACTAAAAATGTCTTATAAGACGTCTGTTTAATAATCAAAAATAGAAAAAAAAAATATATTTCTTATAAGCTTATAAACCTGTGTTGTCTAAGCCTGTTCAAAATGTACCTTGAGACCTATTTCCCAAGAAAGCCACTTCTAAGTAACTTTTATAGTCTAGCCAAACATAAAATTGTCTACTATCCTAATCCTATTCAGTCCCATCTTATTTGACGAATGCATTTTTAATCTCATAAACAACCTGAATAATCCTAAACTTGTCCAGTCGTATTCAACATAGTTTAATGCAACACCACATCTCTTTCAAAATGTTGGCTTCACTAATAATCATAGATAATCTAGGTGTAAATTCCCTTGCATTCCATTAAATTCTTTTCAATCCAAGCAAGGATTCTTCTAGAGGCATCTACAAATGTGTAAATCATACCTGCCATTCTTAAAAAGACCACTTTCATCGGCTAGCTAAATATCGAAGGGAAAACTGTATTCATTTGTAGTTCAAACTCAAAACAACTCTGTTACTTATTTATCGAAAATTTGATGTGTCACAATTCAGTGATTAAACAAGGAAAAAGAAACAAAAGAGCCGGTCTATTGAATCTATTGTGTAACCTCTGGAGGAAGCTTTTAATGAAATCCCTGGCTAAACACCAAGTCCTTCGCTAAAATCTCGGACAGATGTCATCATCCCCAGCTTTTCTTTTTTCTTTTTAGTTTCTAGCAGGCCAGGAATTTGCATTTCGGACCAACATAACTGTGCAACAATCCATGATATTCCACAAATGTACATTGAACAGAGGGACAGGGGCAAGCATCTTCTCAGGCCTCTCCAAACACTGAGTCTCAAGAGGCAACCACAAGTCAACAAGCAGAACCCTAATTTCGGCTGCCTTCGATTTGCAGGCTTCAAAACGTATGGTAACAAAAACTATGGGCTCAACCAAGTAGGAAAATGGATTTGTGTTTCATAGCATTGGAGAAGCATTTCTGGGATATCTTGCAGATGACGGCGCCCGCTGAAAAGATCGAGAAAACTCTGGTTTAAATCTTTTGTTTGACGTCCCATGCAATGACCTGATTCACAAGCAGTTAGTAACATAGTATGCATATTTGTAAATCTAGTACTTAAAGAAGCTGTACGAAGCTGACAGCACTGGAGGAGATACGGGGAATGTAGAAGTATAGACAAAAAAAAGTGTGTCATTTGCCACATCGTCCTACATGGAAAACCAGAATTGTAAAACAAACTTAAGATGAAAGCTGAAGCTCTGAGATTTCCTCTCAAACCTTGCAACAGTTGAGCGATCACCTTTACTCAAAAGCTCCCAAAATTCTAGCACATTCCAAATATATGCACACCATACAACCCAAACAAGTGCATAATCAGGGTCGTACTGCTCTTGGCATACATTATATTCTCATGCAGAGCACATTGAAATATAAATTTACGTACAATCATTTAATCAAATGTCAGCAGACAGCAAAGCCCACTAACCTTGGAGAATCCTGGCGTTTGTAAGAAAACTGATTGGGCATGGATCTCAAGGTTCCAAGAGCCTTTTCGGCAGCCTGAGGGAAATAATATAGGGTTCAAAACATGAAGAGCAATTTAATAAACAAAAACAAACAAAAATTCAAGTCCCTAATACTAATAAGAAAGAATGTGGAAGGGAAAAGGTATACAAGAGGGAAGAATTAAAGCAACATGGTACCTGTGTCTTAGCTTCATCCCATGTTAGTCCAATTCCTTTGCCTAATACGTGTCCATCAATTTCAACCTAAAATGCCAAAAACAGCACAATTTCTTAACAAAGAATACTTGGATATATACACGTAAAAAATTGGCTACTTCATGGATCCACTATCAACCATCATTTTGGTTTAACCAGTGAGTTTTACAAAATGTCAAGTCCCTCAAATTCTGATGCACATGGAAAAGCATTTAAAACCTCCAAATATGAGGATTACGAGGTATGGAATCATTATGAACCCAACGACGTCTGACAATCCAAATGGCCAAGAACAAATTGATAGATACAGATAATGGCACCGTTGATTAAAAAATGTTTCACAATATAACTGCATGGTTAGAGGCATTGGATTAAGATTTTAAAATCAGAATTCGGTGAAAAATCAAATCAAATTTATATTGACAACTCTAAATCCAATTCAGAATTCCTGGGATCATGCTATCGAATGCAATCTAAATGACCGTGAACGAAAATCAACGTGAAATCCAGAATAATTAATCTGGTCAAGAGACTAAATGACCGTGAACGCAAATCAACGTGAAATCCAAAATAATTAATCTGGTCAATGTAAGGCTTCAATAGAGTACAGGAGAAGACATTATTATGCTATATCCGATCCATATTAACAATTTATGGAAATGATGGTATAATTGTATTGTAGGAGTGGGTGGGGGTGACTGGAAAGGAGAGAGGAATAGAAGGTGTTAATCACCCCCAGAAAAGAAAGTTCACCTAAGAAGACAACAATTTTTTTATTTAATTGTCAACAATGCCTAAATTGCTGACCTGTGCGTATACTTCTTTTTTCTGGCCTGGATTTGCTGAAAACTGAGGTTGAGTTTGGAATGCTACACCAAGGCCCTGCATCATGCACTGAGTAATAGAATAATGAAAGCTTGTGAATGAGGAATGGCAAGTACAGAAATCAGAAATTGTAGTATTTTGACTATAAGAAACTCACCAGTTCTTTAAGCTCCGTGATTGAACCCATTGACTTTTTGGAAGCCTCCAGTCTAGGGTCTAGAATCCTGAGTGACTCTGATGCAATTGAAAAAGATGTAGCATCCTCCTTAGGCAATGGCTGATATCCAAAAGGGTAAGCATCACGAATAAAGCCATTATCGTTCGAATTAGCAAATCTACCCCCATCCGCAGGCATGGAACTTAAATCAGGCTTACGCGACAAATATTTATCTGCAAACAAACAGTCTGTAATTGTCAGAACCAGTGCAGAAAGCATCCCATGATCTGAAAGGAGCCGAGCTAAAGTGCAACCTCAAGCAAACGTGTCACATGAAGTTAAAGATATATCATTTCCAATAGCTACAGCAAAATAACTAGAAGTATCCCGTTGCCAACATTGTTTACTTTCCCTTTTTGCTCGAGGCAAGAAAATGAAGGCAAAAGAGATTGAACAGTGATATAAAAAAGAATCAAGTTACATACAGTAACTAAATGTATTATCAACTATGAAGAAGGCAACAATTAATCTCTTACCAGCCAAGTTCATAAGAGATCCTGTAGCAGCCTCATGCTGTGCTTCCCTTCTCGTTCTAGCAATTCCTTCACCAATTTTCTCTCCTGCAAATAAAACCTATAGAAGACCACAAGAAACACTATCTCATTGGAATTCCACAAAATGTTTCCAAAATAGAAAACAAATCAGTAGCAGAAGGACAAAGGTATTGGAAATATATTTTAAAGATTCTCAATGGTACATATTTTGGGCAGAGGAGAAAACATTGTTAGTCATTTAATATTAATTATTAATTGTTTAATTCTCAATAGTGCACAGATTCGGCCACTGAGAGAAAATTGTGTTAATAATTTATCAATTAGTTCTTAATTGTTTAGTTCTAAATTTTGTCGTCGCTATCAGAAGGTACTGTGATGCAACTAAACTGTGAGTGAAGCGGGAAATCACCTCTACAGAGAATTGCAGTTCCATGCTTGAGACAAGTGCTTGCCTGAAATCCACCTACAGATATTTGAATTTTTTTTTTTTTTAAAGGTAAAAGAATTGTATTGAATCCTACAGATATTTGAAATAACCATAAAGAGACCTCAAAT